TATAATTTTATTTATTATTTAATATTAATTCTAAATATTATAATTTTATTTATTATTTAATGTTAATTCTAAATATTATAATTTTATTTATTATTTAATATTAATTCTAAATATTATAATTTTATTTATTTTTTTAATAGTAAAAATAATGTAATAATAATTAACACAAAAAAAAATAGTTTTTTTATTTATTTATTAATATTAATTATAAATATATATTAATTTTATTTATTTCGATAATATTTATCATATATAATAATTTATAAATTTTGTCATAAACACACAATAGAAAATATTAATCAAATAGTCAAATAATCTTCTAATAATTTTGTTTTTTTTTTTCTTAACTAAATTATCATCCTCTTGACTTATTTAAGATCTTCATTAAGTGACGAGAACTTAAAACAAGTCATTCGATTCTTATCGATTACTTTAGTAGTTACAGTAAACGAAAACCTATGAATATCGATCGAGAATAAGAACCAGCGATAACCCACATTCCGTTCAATTCATTTCATCAAGACGAATTGATAAGAAGATTTATCTATTAATTATAATTATAATTAGATAATCGTTTGACACAGATGAAACAACTTAGAAACTAAATACGAGTTAACTGAACAAATAAGAAATGTTCTCATTCCGCAATACACAAGAAGATCGATGTTAACGATAATGTTACCATCGAAAAGACGTCAATGATATTTATGATTGCGAAATTTTTCAAAAGTCATGACCTTGACATTTATTCATAAAATTATTCAACCACGAGTATGATAAGAATACAAAAATGATGAATATTCGACTGATTAAATCGTCGCATTCGAATGCGCAAAAATTTCGAATTTAAATGACAATAAAAAAGAATTCGTGAATTATTTATTTATTTTATTTATTTATATTTTTAAATAATAAAATGTATAAATGTGTATTGGGATTGTTCGAAAAGTTCAATGACAATTTTTGTAAGTGATTTATTTAAGTATTGTTGGGTTGAAAAATCCTGAAAAGTTTTGGTAGGAAGAAATTTTGAGGTTATCCAGAAAGATGGCGTAAAAGTTTTGAAATAGAATGGCACTTATATTTTATTTAATAAATATTTAAAAATAAACTAATAATTTTGTTTAGTTATTTAATATTATAATTTAATTATTTAATAAAAATTAGAAGTAATAATATTTAATTAAAAAAAGAAAACTTAAATGCGTTGCGTTGCGTTGTGTTGCGTTGCATTGTGTTGCGTTGCATTGTGTTGCATTGCGTTGTGTTACGTTTCAAACTACCGTCAAATTAAAATTCAATTTAATTAAAATTAAATTGTTTTATATTTGAATTATTTAATTAAAATTAAAACACCACACAAACTAATAATATTCAATAATAAAAAAAAAGAAAATGAAATGCGTTGCGTTTCAATCTTTCATCAAATTAAAATTCAGTTTAATTGAAATTAAATTTTGTAATTTTGTAATTATTTAAATTGAAAAAATTCAATTTTTTATTTTCTAATTATTTAATTATAATTAAATTTTGTTATTTTCTAATTATTTAAATTAATAGAATTAAATTTTGTATAATAGTTTTTTAATTATTGTAATTAACAAAATTAAATTTTTTATTTATTTTAATCTTATAATATTTAATAATAAATTTATAATATTAATATAATATTTATTAAAATTTATTAATATTTAGTAATATTTAATTTAAAAAAAATAACTTAAATGCGTTGCGTTGCATTACGTTGCGTTGCGTTGCGTTACATTGCGTTACGTTGTGTTGCGTTTCAAATTTCCGTCAAATTAAAATTCCATTTAATTACAATTAAATTTTTTTAATATTTGAATTATGTAATTAAAATTAAAACACCATAAGCACTAATAATATTCAATAATAAACAAAATACTTAAATGCTTTGCGTTTCAATCTTCCAAATCCGTCAAATGAAAAATCCATTTAATTACAATTAAATTGTTTAATATTGTAATTTATTATTTAAATTGTTTTTAAATAATTATTATTTAAATTTAATATAATTTTCTATTATTTAAATTTTAATTTAAATAAAATTAAAACAATAATAATATTTTTAAAAAAAGAAAAAATTGAAATGAGTTGCATCAGGGTTAGATCAAAATCGTCACGAACAACTTTCTGAACAATCTAATAATATTATTACGCGTATTACATATAATTGTTATAAAAACTGTAAAATATTATTATCAATTGTAATAAATAAAAGATAAAAATTTTAAACTCACTCCGGAGACAGGAATGACGTGAGAAACCATTCTGGTTCTGGTGTCCTGTGATGAAGAATAGTTCATAAAGATGTTCGCCGCTGTGGCTGCATTTACACGATGCTGCTCGACGAAATCCTCCCAATAAACGGAAAGACCCTCCACAATTGCAGTTGTATTTGTAAGTTGTATTTTTAATTTTTTTTTTTTTGTTTTTTTTTTGTTTTTTTTTTTTAAATAATTATTGCCTATTATGGCACTTGAAAAAATGCGTTCAAACTCGAACAACAAATTGTATTTTTTTAATTATTTTTTGTTTGTTATTTTTTTTTTTCAATTGATCTTAACAATTTTATGATCCAAGCTTATTTCTTTGCTTGTATATTTTTTTTTTCAACAAATTTTGTATTTTAATATATTAATTTCTAATATTTTAATATATTAATTTAATTATAAAAAAAAAAATGAAAAAAATAACCCCACAAGAAATTTGCAAAAGTTTTACAGAAAATTTCAATTTTTTCCCTCAACTCGAATCTCTCGCTGATTAAACATCAACGTATGATTCTATGTATATATATATGTGTGTGTGTGTGTGTTTGTATATATGTGTCACTTTATATTATTTCTTTTTCTTTAAATTCCTTCATCAAGAAAATATTACTACGAAGTCACGATCACATCGGTCGTTGACCTGTAAAAAAAAGAAACATAAGAGAAATTCTCTTTAAAGATTATTTTTGCACGATCATTTATTTGTATAGTAATTAAAAAAAAAAAAAAAAAAAAATTCTATATTAAATGTACGAGATATCTTATTTAAAATGAATGAAAAGTGATAAAACAAATATTTCATATAGATATAGTATTTTAAAATGAATAATTATTGAAAATTATATCGAAATAATAATCATAATAAATATATATTAAAAAAAAAAAAAAAACAAAAATAAAAAATCAATAATAACGAGTATCACATTTGATGCATGACTTGCAAATGCATTAAGAGGTCAATCCTAAAAAAAAAACCTTGTTACTCTCATTTTTCTTATTTCAATAAATTTCATTAATTAATATAATTATTATTTATTTGTTTTTTATTTTAATAAATTTTAACATGTATTATTATATTTTATTTTACGTTACATTTCTATTAACACACATGAGAAACTCAATGTAATTGTTTTCTACACAATTATATTCATGATTATACAATTTGTATTATATATAATTAAACTATAACCTCTTATTAAGGAGTTTTATAAATAATATAATTAATAGAAATTTAATAAACATTATATTTCAATTGCAACACATGAGAAACTTAACATAACATTTTTCTACACAATTATATTTATGTATGGTCACCGATACAATTCAAAATGTGCCTAATATTAAAACTTTGGTCATCCAGAATACAATTTTTGAATGCATCAGCAACTTTAGATATATTTAGGATCGATCATGAACCAGATGAAACGAAATTAACGAAGAACTTAAGCAAAGAAATCAATTTAGACAATGTCAATAAATTACTCAGCTCGCAGTTGCTGTATCTAGGTGTTTCAAAATCAGGATATACAGGACAATCATCCTACCGGTAGTCCTTTATGGTAACCAAACGTGGTGTCACTTACGTTACGGGCCCAAAAGAAATTGAGGCTTTCGAAAATCAAGTTGTTTCGTAAAATGTTCGGTGCAAAACGCGATGAGCAAACGGACGAATGGGAAAACTTCATAACATGGAAGTACACCGACTTTACAACAAAACCGGACATCATTAACGTCGTAAAATCACGCCGATTAAGATGGGCAGGATGTCACGTGGCGTGCATGGGGGTGGATCGAAGGGTGCATAAAATACTGATCGGTATACCGAACGGGAAAAGACCATTTGGGTTGACCGAGACGTAGATGGGAGGACAATATTGTTTCGGGATCTTAAGGAAGTGGGCTACGAAGACTGCGAATGGAAGAGTCGTGGCTCAGGGATGGGATTGGTATTTTCAGCAATGAACTTTCGAGTTCCTAATGCCAATTAATAATAATAATAATATAAACGTTATATTTCTATTGACACACATGAGAAGCTCTATGTAATATTTTTCTGTATAATTATATTGGATTGGCATCTAAGTAATTGCAAATTTGAAATAAGAATGACAATTCCAAATTGTTGCTTCAAAATCTAAGTTTATTCAATTAGGTACTGTCCATTTTTGTTGATGATCTTTTGCCATTGGTCAAGTACCCATGTTCATCAAATTTCTGATCTTTGCTATGAAAGAACTGAATTAGGTGTAAAACAAAATACACAATGACCCTAATAACACAAAATATTGAAAAATATTGAACACATGTGTATTTAATGTTAAAAAAACCATTGACTGGTTTTCTTAACTTATACAGCATATAATAGGGTACTTAGAGTTGCCAACCTAATATTTATGATTACACATAATTGATATTAAATATAATTAAAATATACTTTTTTATTATTATTATTATTATTATTATTACAGTATTATAAACGATATAATCCTGTCGACAGGTTGAACAGATTGAATCCGATGTTTTAATGTTAAAGGACAAAGAGAGTTTAAACGAAGTCGACAACGAAACGTGGATTTAATGGGTTTAAAAACACAAAAAGGGGGGGAATGAAGGAAGTGAAGAAGGGGGATGGTAGAAGAAAGAGAAAAAAAAAGAAAAAAAAAGGAAGGAAGGGGAGTATAGAACGTGTTCTGTCGTTGAATGATGATGACTCTTACTACGTAGAGAAATAAGTCGTGAAACACGAGGAACGTAGTCGTTTCGTGTTGATGACGAGAACGCGACAGCTGAACACTTAGGCGACCTGAATACATAGTAATACATAGAATCCAATGAAATAGTCGAAGAAAAAAGAAATAGCATCATCTTCTTCTTATTCTTCTTATTCTTCTTCTACTTCTTCTTCTTCTTCTTCTTCTTCCCTAGGGAAACATCCAAACTTCCGTCGGTTTTACGAACATTGACTTAGATACACGAGTCTTCCTTTCTTTTCAAGAAAAATTTATTATTATTATTTCTATTTTTCTGTTCGTTTTTATTTGTTTGTTTATTTGTTTGTTTGTTTGTTTGTTTGTTTCTTCATTTTTTTTTTTTTTTTGATTAAACTTTATCATCTTTTTGTAATTCAAATTGAAAATTCGTCGATATAATTAGTTTTGATTAATTATTTAGAAAAATCTTTTTAAATATTCATTTGAAATGTTATTCAATTTTGGATTATTTTGATTATTATTATTCCATAGTAGTAGAAAATATTGAAAAATATTGAATAAGTGTGTGTATTTAATATTAAAAAGAGATTCATAATGTCTTTTTATGCTTTTTAGAAGTGCCACGGAAAAATGGGTTGTTAGACACCTTTTCACAATTTCATCAAACTTACATGTGTACTGATTTCTATCTTTGAATATCTTTTGAACGCTTAATTTAATCGTCAAAACATAAGACACCATTTTTATAGAGCACTTAATTTCCTACAATAATTTCTATTGCGCATTTTATAATAATCATTTATTGTCGAGTTATAAAATTATTCATCAACAAAAAATGAAATTTGTCTTATATTTGTCTAATCAAACTTAAATCTTCAATATCATTCAAATGGTGAGGTTTATGGAAAAAATATAAGATACCATTTTTGTAGAGCATTCAATTTCCTACAAAATTTGTCTAGAACATTTTTCTCTACAATCAATAAATAATAAGTTATGAATTTTATTCTATTGGACTGAGAAAAAGAAAGTAAAAAAACTGCAATGCGAAGGATCTTTTCCCTATTAAAATGAAGAGCTCATATTTGGTGAGAATTTTTTTTTTAAGGTGTCTACCAACCCATTTTTTCGTGGCACTTGAAAAAAAAAAAGAATCAGTCATTTTTTTGACCCACCCTAATATATATTATATACAGGGTGATTCTAGTAATGGGAACATAGAAATAAAAAAAAAAAAAAAAAAAAAAAAAAGAAAAAAAAAAGAAAGAAATGAAAAGTAATAAAAAAAAAAAAGGAAAAAAAAGAACAAGATAAACATATAAGTAAACGAATTTGTATATATAT